GCAAGTCATAAACTAGGTTTTATGTTTTGCCTACATGCTTACATTTACAGACTGAGAGATTTCACATTAAAATCTGCATTTCTGGTTTCTTTGGAAAAGCTGGGTGTCCAGGCATCACTGGGTTTGCTTTATCTCACAACAGCGTTCAGCCAGAGTAGAGGAGCTTTCGGATCTGGCCTATTCTGTAGGTCAGGGTCACCATGGTGCCTTCTTCCTTCCTGTGAATTATCTGCCTTGCTCTTCTAGGCGTATGGCTTAATTGAATAGAAGTCCATTGGAATAATGATCCAATAATCTCCTTTATATTCAGTTACCGGATCCAGGGCTGTAGCATGGAGTTTGTCAACGTTTTTCTTCCCCTTCCTTATCATCCATGGTAGATGACTTTCACATGTACAACACAGTCTCAAGGGTGCTGTCAGGGTTATTCTAGCTGTAACAAGACTGTGAGATGGTTGCTATAGCCTGGAAAACTCTCTTCTCAGAAAAAGAAAGCAAATACTTTGCAGGCTTCAGAAAAACTATTACCAGTAACAAATTTCTTGTGACATCTCACAACTGATCATGACACACCTGTGTGAAGGGAGCGGGCAGTTGAGAATAGCTTTGAAGCCGAGAAAGGAAAAGCATAAATAAGTTTAGAGAATTGTGTTTATAAAGCATGATGGAAAAGAAGGTTTACAAGCCCTCCAAGTAAATAATTTTAGGTCAGGGTAAATACTAGGTTTACTCACTCAATTCAGCTTCCCACACATGTGTTTATGACCAGGGCCAGCCCGCCACATGGGAGAAATTGGCAGCCACCTTCTTCTCATGACTGGGCTGGTGAGGAATCTCTACTATTAGGCTCATTTCTAGGATTCAGGTAAAGACAGGGTATTGTCTCGAGGAGACTCTGGAAGACAGAGGAGATCAGCAGATTCTGTCCGACGCTCTCCTAGAACCTGAATTAGGGTCGGCATCTTAGGTTTGTGGTTTGTATTAAGAGATTGGCAGGAGACCTGGATTTGCTTCAAGAGAGGGCAGGGAGGCCGAGTGCTCACCAGTAGTCAGGAGGGAAAAGCGCTCAGGTCTGGGGCAGGGGCTCAAGATTGACAGGGAGCCCTGGGGTGCTGGGTGCTGACTTAGGGAAAGAGACCCAGGAGGTGAGCTTTTGAAAAAGAAGGATGGAGTAATGGCGAAATCCATGGCTCGCTTCGGAAGTCCTTTCCAAAGCTGGCTTTGCTGGTGACTCTGAAATTCACCAGTGTTCAGCCAGTTCATTTAAGGCAAGTGTAATGGACTGCATTGAGCCAGTCTTCAGCTCATGTGTGTGTGTGTGTGTGTGTGTGTGTGTGTGTGTGTGTGGAGGCGGGGGAGGGCGCAAGTGGAAAGTCAGATGCTGGTTCTGAATGTAGAACGTGGTTTGTGTCTTAATCACCAGTCTGTTTTTCAGGATTTATAATAGGGTGACTGGCATTTTGCCCAAGAGCAATAGATTCTTAAGGTAAAGTATTGAAAGTCCGATGTTTCTAGGAATTAGACTGTTAACAGGCACAGTAAATGGATCAGGGGGGTTCATTTTTCTTCACTGGCTGGATTACATACAGATGGGCCTGGGCAAATTAGGAGCCGTCTATTGAGGATTAAGTATTTATTACGCTGCCCAGGCTCCAGTTTCTTCAGATTCGAAGATGAAGAATATTGAAAGAAAATGAAGAGGTCTCAGAAGCTTCTAAAAATGTGGTGTAGGCTAATGGTTTTCAGTCATAGCTCTTTAAAAATGCTTTACCACCTCTCAGAGGGACTTAAATTTCAGCTGTCTGAGGCTGGCTAATTACTGAGGTAAAGTTAAAAGTTGTTCTGTGCCCAGAGAGGACTGGGGAATAAAAGCAGTGAACCGCAAAACTGTGTCAGGAAAAGTTTACTTTTCATGGTCATTGAATTAACGAAAGAACAAGCCAGCCCTGGTCCACCTCTGTCTGCCTCCGCGTCATGCTGGGCCTCCCTGCCACAAATGGGCAGACGCTGCTGAGACCCCAAACGCCTTTTCCACCAGAGGGGAGCTGCCAAAACCAGATGCTCCTTGATTCGGGGGCGGCGGGGGGGAAAGATTGGAAATTGCTAATTCTCACTTTGCACTCACTTGCTTGAAATGTGACAATCGTGCTTCTGGGGCATCCTTCGAGAGACACAAGGATAAGAAGCGGGGGGCAGGGGCAGAAAACACAGTGCCTGCCTCTTTCTCCCCCTCTGCGGAGCTGGAGAGAGCAGAATGACTTGCAGGTGGCCCCATCTGTAGCCAAGAGGAATGCAACAATTTGGAAAAGAGCTCTACCTATTTTTTTTTTAATTGCAAAAAAAAAAAAAGAAAATGAGAAGAAAATGCTAATAGTTGCAGCTAGAAAATATGCCTGGGAGAATGGCCTTTATCATCTGCTTTTTGAAGTAGGGGTTGAGAAAGAGATGAAGCCAGGGAGAGGACCCAAAGGGCTGATCCTGAGAACAGAGCGCTGTGGGCACCGGGACACAGTTGGTACCCGAGGGAGAAACTTGCTTGTAAAGTCATTTCAGACTCACTCGGTGATTCGGCGAGAATCATTTACATGGTCTTCTAAATGGTATAGCCCTGTTTCATCTCCAGACAAGAGTGCGAGAGGTGTTTATAAAGATCCTAGCCTCTGTTTAGGGATGTCTAAATACATTCTGGTAATTAGCTTAACTTTGATCCAATGCAGTGCTTTTTCTTGGTAAAATAAATAAATCAGTGAAAGGTTCTGGAATACTCTCCCCTTTGAGACCCCTACCATTAATATCAAGCTGAATTCTCTCAATGCATATTGTTAAATCTGATGTTTATTTTTTTTTAGTCTCCAATCTGGTTTTCCCGTTAATAAAAAAAAATACCATGCGTGCATCCGTGAACAGTTGTTCAGTTGTGTTTGATTCTTTGTGACCCTGTGGCCTGTAGCCCACCAGGCTTCTTTGTGCATGGGATTTCCCAGGCAAGAGTACTGGAATGGGTTGTCATTTCCTCCAACCAGGGAGTCAAACCCAAGTCTCCTGTGTCTCCTGCATTGGTAGGAGTATTCTTTTACCTCTGAGCCACATGGGATGCCCACTAAATAATATTAGTTATCCATTCTCTGGTGGTGCAGATGGTAGAGAATCTCCTAAAGGAGATCTGGGTTCAGTCTCTAGGTCTGGAATATCCCCTGGAGAAGGGAATGCCACTCCACTCCAGTATTCTTCTCTGGAGAATCCCAAGGAGAGAGGAGCCTGGTGGGTTACAATCCATGGGGTCACAAAGTGTTGGACGCGAGTGAACGACTTTCACTTTCATCTATTAATAAAGAGTTCAAAGTGAAAAACTTTGCTAGTGCAATGCTTATCTTTTCTAATAAAACAAAACCTAGAAGTGTTCTGTATGAGACTGGTCACACAGCTTCTCACTGCATTGTTAGGAAGGTTTAGTCACATGACACAAGCAATAAAGAGAAGAGACACAGCTTAGCTTCCAAGCTTCCATAGCAATGAAGGATTTACAGACATTCCACTCCTTTCACCATTTTTATGCACCCTTCTTCCCTGAAACCCAGAAGGGAGAGACTGAGGCAGAATTACCATTTAACTGAAAAGTATCCCAGGCTAATACATACCAGATACATTGTCACCCCCTCTTGTCCCTATTTCCTGGGATTTCCTAGGTTGTATTGTCTGTGAAATGGGCTGGTCCCACATCAGACCTGTAGTTACGAATGGAAGCATATGATTCCTTTAATAAAGGGAGAAAGAAATAGATTTATTTCATTATTTCACATGAACATTGAATTCCATCGATAAAGAGGATAGTCTCATGTATAACAGCTGATATCTTTTTAAAGAAAGATTTCAGAATGCTACTTCAAATTATTTCACTGTAAGAGTTTCTAGATAATGTCCTTCTACAAAATAGACCTGACTCAAAAGGAATAAAAAAATATAGTTGAAGGAAGAAAATTTACTTGTATCTCACCACCTAGAGATAATCACAATTAACATTGTGAACTATTCCCTTTCAGATTTTTTGGACATCAAATGATATTTTTATAAAATCTGGATCTTGCTGCATATATAATACTGTACTTTGACCTTTTGTTCCAAGTTAAATCCCTTCTCCCATGTGTTATTTAAATGAAAATTACACCTTTATATGGTGAAGAAAAAATTACACTGCAAAATGTGATGATGAAGAGGAACACGCCTCCTTGTTACAGACCTCAGTCTTACTTCCTAAGGTTAGGTAAGCATGGTCAACAGTTTCTCATGGACATCAGTTTTCAGGGGCTGGGCTACTCTGTCTTTCTAACTTAGCATCACACTAAGGCACTGGACGAGGCATCCCGCAGAGTGTTAATCAGTGAGGAATGGCAAGTTCCCACGCTGTACTTCTAAGATGATGTGAAGTTAATTCCACTGTTAATGGCAACTGAATTATTTACGTGACGGTGCAGGTGAACAACCGAGGATTTGCACAGGTAAGTGAGAAGAGGCCTGGAGAGTCTTATCCGGGTCAAAGGAGTGAGAGTAGCTAGCTGCAGTAGCCACTAACGAAGACCGTGGCATCGTGAGAAAGGCAAGGCATGAGACTCCGCAGCCTGGAGTCTTCCCGGGCTCCGTCTCGCCACCCGAAAGCTGCCAGTTCAGCTGCGCACGTGGCCAGGAGAAGCCGCTGAGCGACTCAAGTGGGACGGGGTGAGGAACGGATAGGGAAAGATGGGGACCATGGTGAAGAGGAAAAGATGCCTCAGGGCATGGAGGGGGCCTGCCACTCAGACCCTCAGACCGGGGCTTTATGGAAAGGCCACCTTGGGTGAGCCTGGTGATTTTTTAATGAAAATAAGAAGCCTACATGTTCATGTGAATTTGCCCAATTTTTTATGATTGGCAACTTGTTAAAAATAATAATAATAATACCTAAGCTTGCCGACTGGCTGCCTTAGAGTGCAGCCTTTTTTTCTTCTGTAAAAGCTCCCTTGCAGAAGACAACTATCAGCTTGACCTTCTCTGTGCTCTAGATCAGACAGCCCCCTGCCCACCTCTGTGCCAGCAGGACGCCTGTGTGACGCGGCTGGCGGGCACAGACGCTGATGTGCCATCACAGCACAGAGGTAAGCATCCCCAGGGCAGGGCAGGCAGGGACTGAGAACGCTGCCATTCTTGCCCCAGACAGAAAGTGGCAGTCTGATCCCCTGGCTATGCTACTGTGATAAAGTAATGGGACATCCAGGGGTGCGGGCTAGGACAGCGCCCACTGCCCCAGAATGGGCCTGCTCTTTCTGCTGGAATGCCCCTCCCTGCGGGGGACCCAGGGCATGATGGTAAGAGATCTGGAAATGGTCTAAATACCCTTCTTAAGGAATCCGCTGAAGACGGCCTAAAAGCTTCTCCTCCGTTCTCAACGCTCTTTCTGAAACCCAGCCCAGCTGCCTTTGTTTGTGTTCCTGTATTTGCTCGGGGTGAGTTTACTCTGTCACCTAAGAGGCAAAAGAAAGCAAATTCAATTTTCCATAAGCAAAACTGAAGCTTCAGGGCAGCGCTGGTAGATGTTTGCACCAGGGGAATTTGAGACATGCTTTGTAAAAATGACAGAAGGTTGTTAACAAGCGTCAACAAGCCCGTTTGGAAGTTGATGTCCCATAAAAATGATGGCTACTTGGCATAGAATGGGTGCCATCATGGGCACTGGTACACAGCGGCAACCTCAGGTCCTAGCTTTACCACGAGGCAGACATTGGTTCACTCAAAATGGCTCACAACTGATGCCTTTGCTATTCTCCTACCTAAAGCAGCGACTCATTATTTGAATACTGAAACATGAAGTCAAACCTATCAATCTATTTCTCCCAGTTATTTGCATTTCAAATTAGTGAGGTCTTTTAAAATATTCATGCTCTTTGACTCAGTAATACCACTTGCAGGAATTTATTCCAAGGAAACAATTCTAAACAATAGCAAAAAATAGAAAACAAGGTAAATATTCAATAATAGGGGAATGGCTAAGTAAACCACAGTTTATGAGCACAGTGAAATGTTATGTAACCACTGCAATGATTATAAAGACTATGCAATAACATCGAAAATACTTCTGCTAAGATGTTGTCAGAAAGGCAAGATGCAAAATTCTAAACAAGCATGATTATATATTACATAAACCAGTCAAACAGAGAGCAAAAAAAAAAAAAAAAACCCTACAGGAAATACAGGATTGGGGGAAATCATTGAAAAGTTAACAGTAGCACTGTCTGGGCTGATACCAGTTTTTCTCTTCTTTCCATAATTTTCTTCATTTTCTTAAATGAGCACATATTACTTGTATAATGAAAAAAGTATACATTTAAAAATGGGGTTTAGGCCTTAACGCTTTGGAAAATGACAGCTAACACCAAAACGAAGCAGTCTCTCCAACAAAGTGCATCTCAGGTTGTCACGAGCAGCTGATAAAGGTTCGTCCCCAGTAATGATCCAAAAGCACTGCTTCTGAGCAGGGAAAACAGACTCAAGCCCTTCCTTGGATAACTCCACCAGCGCTGTGCGCAGAATCAAGTTCATCGCTCCAAGGACAGTTTACAACCCGAAGCAGGAGATTTTCTTACGTTTATCATCATCTCAGCGAAACCCTGTACACGGCGCTACCATCAGTGAGAAAGATTAACTGTATTAAAGTCCAACCGCAGTATGATGTGAGGGATTTCCATGGAAGCCGATTCAGAAGGCAGAATGAAGCAACGTGAAGTGGAATTTCCTTTCATTTTGTGCCCCCTCCCCTCATAAATCTCTGCCCTTCAATTTCATCAAGTGAGCCTTTGTTCTGACATTCTGGGCAGGAAGTATGGAGGCAACTGATCCGCTCTCCTAACACCTCTCGTGAGTTTTGAATATGCACGTGTTTGAATACATCAAACACATCTGCTTCTAGACAGTCCACGCCAAATATCCTCACCATGTGTAATTCATACTCCACGCCAGCCCCTTTCGTCTTGTCCCCCCTTCACATAACAGCAGAGCACAGACTCACACTAGAGTTTTCCTAGGCTGATTCATAAAATGCAGGGAAACAAATTTGTTACAGGAATAGGAAAAGCGCTATGTTGCTTTGTCCAAATAAGCATCAAGAGAGAAATACATCAAATTCAGCCAGTGAGAGGAGAGTCGGGAACCGGAGAAGATGGGGAGGAGAGAGATTTAGGCTGGAAATTCCATCGTGCAGTTTTCAAAGGCTTTTCTGAGCTTTCTCTTTTCTATTATCACCTTACAAATAGCCTATTGAGCTGAAAAGGATGCAGATATTTGTTCTGGCCTTCTTGCTACCTTCTTCTAGAAGATGGAGAAAAATGTTAAAGAGGCTATTTCCTTCCTCTTGGGTAGTTTTTGCTTTGTTTATTTGAAGGGGTGATAAAGACACAAGTGAACAGGTAAAAACAAACAGTACTCCCGATGCCACATTGACTTACTTTTTCATCTTTTCTTGGTGTGTGTGGCTCAGGTTGCTAGAAGCGATGTGTTGATTGGTTGACAATTATTCCTAAGACCTGTCCACAGGGATGTGTATGAATTAAGTTTGTATGTTTAAGGATTAAGTTTGAAGTAGACAAAGTTTACATTAGCTTTCCCTAGTCATTATCATCTTTCCTTTCATTTGTACAAATTAAGTACTGCATGCTTTCCTCTGGCCTCTTTCCTAATTTGCTTGGTTGTATCTGAAAAGTTTTCAAATTTGCTATGGCTTATCCTCAAAGGAACAGAATGACCAGCACTGAGCTTCTCCAACAAGGCTCCAAGTTTGGTTCTGAAAGTAATCTGGGCAGAATCACCTTCTGTCTTTTTTTTTAATATTTATTTATTTGTCTGTGCTGGGTTTTTGTTGCAACATGCAGGCTTTTTAGTTGAAGCATGTGGGATCTAGTTCCCCGACCAGGGATCGAACCTGGGCCCCCTGCATTGGGAATGCAGAGTCTTAGCCACTGGACCACCAGGGAAGTCCCCACCTTCTGTCTTTGAGCATTAGTTTACTTATTTGAGTCTGTTCACAAAACAAGGTTAATGGTACAGAGTGTAACTGAATGCAGTTCCTGAGATGTAACATTAAACATCATTTATGGCACACCATATTCGGTTCGAAATCCCATCAGCAATGCTCCATGAGGACGTGAGGAAGGGTGTCCTACCACTAGATGTTACCTCGCCAATCCAGCGAGTCCTTCCCTTCCCTAACTGTTTTTTGATTCACAAGGAGATCTGACCTTTACCCTATGGCTTCATATTTCCTTTAAAAGTCAGGAAAAGAAATATGAGTTTATGAAAATGAGATATAAAAGACCATCCATTCCTCAAAAGCTGGCTCTTGCTGCTCAGCTTTTCTCTTCATCCGTCTCTACAGGGATCTGAAACCAAGTCAGGAGGACACGTCTGATTATTTCTCACAGTTCCTCTGATCAGAGCATATGTATTTTCACGTTCACGAGTTCCTCCATGAGCTATTTCTCCATTTAAAAAATAAAAACGGAGTCCAGTAGCTATGGGGCTGTGTGCCAAGAACATTCCGCATTGTTTATTCCAACCTGAATGGCTCCAGGGCCTCTGCGAGCCCGTGGATTTTCCTCCTAGGCCTCTGTGCCCGGGAGGAACCCTGCTAGGGCAACACTAACAGCCACCCCAAATCTTTATTGATCTCAGGACCTGAGGGACGCCACCAACGGCCACCTCAAAAACCTGGACGCTTCCTTTTATAGAGACGTTCGACGGACCATCTCTTTGTGATTGTCTTAATGAAAATGGAATTCAGCTAGAATACACACATACACACACACACACACACACACACACAATGCCCCCCACTCCCCCCACACAATTTCTCTTGCTTCCAAACCCAACTGCGTTTACTTTTCTTTGATATCCAGCCTGCCTTTCTGGGAGTGGAGAGCTTCTTTGAGGCCAGTTTCACTGAATGGGTCACCTGGCTGCCTTACTTCTGCATGGCGAACACACGCATGATAACAATTAACGAGAGGAAGGGTTTTGATGATAGCGTCTAGCATCCGATTTTCAGCTCTTAAATTTTCCCTATATGCGCACGGATCCTATTACCTCTGGGAGAGCTCTTATTAATCTCAGTGTCAGAGCTGTTTCAACAAATCTACTGTAATAATGAAAAGTCATCTTATCACACTTTGCTCTCAGTAAATTTACCATTCTTTGATAAGGTTGCAAACAACTGGGAAGTAATTGATCTGTAATTAGTGTGGCAACTGCTGAAGAGAGCCTGTGCTGGGGTTTCATCATTTATCCGCCCAGCACAGTGCGTCCTGCACTGGAAGTCTAAATTATTTAGCGTTCCTTTCAAATACAAATGGTCGCAATGGGTTCTCCATTATTTTCAGAACTTTCCAAAGAGGAGGCTAGCGTTTAAATGTGTGATTGTCTGTCACCAGGGTGGTGCTTAGAGGGGCTGTCAGTGGAAGGGCATCATTGTTCACACATGACTTGCCTGCTGAAGCCAGCCGGCCCTGTAAATGTGGAAGGACGGGGGCTCTTTGATCTCAACCAAACTTGCATCATTTATCTTTCAAATGCACAAAAGCGTTTGATAAATGTCAATTTGACAATTAAATTCTTCCAGGGCCACAATACATCACCATCAGAGCGTCTATTTTTGAGGGTCGGTCAGCCATGACATCTTTCAAAGGACAGCAGCGAGCAGAAGTCAGAGGGGAGCGCAGCTCTTCGGCCTTGCTCTCCCCAGCGTGGTGTTTCTATCTCTTGCTGAGTGAAAGAGCCCGGATCTTTCCCTGCAAGATGGGGCACAGCTCGGAGGGCAGTGTAAGGTCTGCCTGGCAACCCAAAGGGATTGTGTTCAGGGTCTGTTCTCTGATAGTTAGGGGGGAAGTGAACGAAACTCCTCTGGTCATTTGCCCTTTTTAACACTCTGTCTGCTATATATACATATATACACACACATATACATATACATATATATATATATATACACACACATATACACATACATATATATACACATATATATACACACACATAAACATATACATATACATATATACACACATACACATATACATATATACACACACATATACATATACATATATATACA